TGGCATATGAGATAGGTTCATATTATCTTTATTTAATATCTTCTTTTCTATCCTTGTAAATAAAGCATCATTTAGGATGGTAAGTCTAAAAGAAAATAGGATGCTAAAATAATTCACTACTCGCATTATCGATAATAGATTTATCCTATATTAGAGATCCATCGAGTTGTTATATTTTAAAATTTGCTCTTTTAGCATTGTTTTAAATACACATATGAAAAAAAAACTATTTTTTCAATCTTCATCCTTAATCCATTTAACTCATGCTTTCATTGTAATAGTTCAACATCCTATTTCACTAGTTGATTCAATCACACTTTAGCATCTTTCAAAGTCGAAGCAGTTTGATCATTCCACTATTGAACTAATTCATTTTCTAGCCATCCGATATCATCCTTCATTGCTTTAATTTTTCTATTAATATGGCCAAATATAATCCAATTCAATACCTTTAACTCCCATCATAAATGACTCAACATTTGATAGAGAACCGATAATGGTGAACTCGAAAACAAGACTCATTCCATACCTTTTACATAAATGTCAAGAAATTTAGATGTTCAAGTCACATACACTAGATTAAAAGTGATGTGCCCTATTTTAATTTGTGCAAATTTTAACAATAGAGGATAATGATTAAAAGTATTTTTGACCAAATGTTCCACCATTAGAGGAGAGAAGAAAGCCTTGAATTATCCATCAACTCTAACTTTGTCAATTCGTTGCCATTTACGAGTCGCATCCGTCTAGTTATTACATCATGTGAATCTACTGCGTCTATAGCTCGCATTGTCCATTCTAATCCGACTATAACAATAATTAATTCACGTATACCCTAAATGTCCACATCCCTACCACCTATTTTTTTTTCTAAAATATCTAAAACGATATCGAAATCTCGTCCTATTAGTTAAGGATCTTGGACTTAACTCGAAATGCCAATCGGATCACCCCATAACTCTTCTCTCTTTAGTCTGCTACACTTAGCATATATAAAAGAACATAGAACTTGAGGCCAATTAAAGCATCAAACCTTAAAAGCAATATATTACGAGTTAGCTTATGCAAAACTTACATTTATTGAATCCTTTCAAAAAACCAATATATGGTTGCTAATCGGATTTTGATACATACATCATAGTTATTTAAGGTTTTTTTTTTTAAATAATATTAGCTATAGATCCCCCCTCAATTTAGGTTCCAAATTGATTAAAATCGTAGGTGGATGTTATGCTATCGAAGTTTAATATAGTTAATGGTGATTTTTTTACTACTACTTAAGCATTTCATAGTAGAAAAGACATTACTAATAATTTGTATAACTTTGAAATTATGCTCTAATGGTTGCACTTGTAATTCTCTTGAATGCCAAATCATGAATCCTAGATTTTTTTTCATCCTCGAAACCTTTTATGTAAGGCGTATACCTCATCTATGCCAACAATCCCATCCTCATTCCATGATGTTGATTTCTTATATGTTGTAAGAATGTGTCATTTAGATTTCTATTTTCGTTGATCATCAAATAACGATCCCCTTCAAGGTTGTGCCATAGCTTTGTCTAAAATATCATCATATGTTTGTCAAAAATATCATTCTTATCCAGGTTTATAAAGGCACTAAATTGGTTAGAGATGTATAGTTTCTTTACCTCATATTCATTAGGAAATAAAACATCAATATGTACACTATTAGTAGGAACCTCTTGGTTACTCGCATATCCTAATGTCCTTTTTTCTATTATCACTTAAGATTCATACTTATCTCATTTTGTCTAGTAAACACCCTTTGACGTAACTTCAATATCATTGCAATCCTTCCCCTTCTCTATCTATACATCTTTCTTTCTTATGAGATCATTATTTTTATTCACAATAGGAACCCATGTATCCCGATGGCCATCTAAGTGTATAACTCTTTTGCCTTTGCCCTTATTAATATCTTTCTCCCTCATAGTTTTTGAGAACCAATTGTTATGAATCTTCACTCGTTGCCATCCGAGAAGCCTTAGGAATATAGTATGGTTGATCATACGTTTCCTTTTCCAACCCTACAACTCGAGTTTCATTCTTTCTCCATTTATTATCATTATTTATTGGAATTACCCTAACCTAACCAAAATAACTCATTGTTGTCCGTTGTATAGACTCGGATATATGTTGTTGTCATTTTGTTCTTTTTTGGCAATTCCCCACCAAAGTGACCAATTAAACCACACCCTTTATAGAAAACAACATTCCTTTCATACTCTATCTTTTGCCAAAAACATTACTCTTTAGAATTTCTTGTCCAAATTCTCAATGGGAGAGGTTTAAAAACATCAAGCTCAAGATTTATTCTCGTAAATATATGATAAGTAAGCATCATGGTTTTATCATTTACCCTTAAAAAAATGACCTATTGATTCCTCCACTCGTCCTAGATAGGACGGGGTAAAGAATGGAAGAATAAGAAGGGGAACCTTACCTAAAATGCTATTTGTGGGCAATCCCTACGGAAAGTAAATTATGGTGTCCTATGAAAAAAACAATACATGTAGTTAAAGATCTTATGATCTTCTCTTAAAGGAGCTATAACCATGTCTACCTAGTTGCCTAGGTGAGCCATTACAAGTTAAAGATCAAGGAATCCAATTATGGGATCACTTTTTAAATTCCATGATCGACGGATATGGCTCTATATGTCATTGACAAGGGTCCGCCATTAAAGAATTTTAGAATAATAGTGAACTGAAACTATTTAGATGCAACTTTCATCTCCATCATAGAAAACAATCATGCCTACTCTTCATTAATGGCAACCGTAAGTCTTGGTGCTACCGAAAAGTCCGTCAATAAAGAACTAGGTCACACTTGTGTTATCTTTTTATTTTGCGGAACTATAGCATCATAGTTTACTTATTTACTTTGTTATGCTTTAATGGTCTCTAACTCCCCATTATTTTTTTGCATTTTATTTCTTTCATTCGAGTAATCCTTTGTACGTAGGTGTAGACGACCTTTCCCTCTACACCCTAGAACCAATTTTAAAGACAAAAAGTTCTTAGAGAATTAGGATTAGTAAGGTTATTGGTGTACATATATATATATATATATAAACGAAGTCTATTTAATTAGTTTGAAGTAGAGATTTTTCGGATTGATTATTTTCCCTTTCTCTTAACCTTTGAAAGTGATTCTTTATTTGTGGGCCTAGAGGGTCATCCTCTCTACACTTTAGAACTATTTTTAAGATAAAAAAGTTTCAAGAGAATTTGGAAGAGGGACCCAAAGGGAGACACTTGAAAGTCTCTCAAATATGACTTGGTCAAATGTTGTATTTTTAGGGACTCTTTTGGTTTTCTATCTATTCGACTCATGTTTCGTTTTTATTTTTGATAGAAATTTTTATATGTTTAACATATATCCGGTTTTGATCTATTTTTTAAATTTCATAACTTCGAAATTTTTTTGGTATTTTATCCGAATTTATCTAAATTACCATCGTAAATATTGTATTTTTAGTGGTTGTTTCGGTTTTCTATTTTTTCAGTCTAGATTTTAATTTTATTTTTGGCTAAAATTTTTATATGTTCAACATATGTTTGCTTTTGATATATTTTTTAAATTTTATAATTTTAGAAGTTACTTTGATATTTATTTGCATTTTTTATATTCTATTGTCAATTTACTCATCGAGTAAGAGACTCGTTTCAACAATTAAATTATTTGGGCCCACTGCATATTTAATATATGTTGATGAGTTCTTGTAAAATTTTCATTGAGGTTTTATATTCCTGGATGTGAAATCATCAAGTCTCCTAGGTTCTATGGATTAGTGATGATTCCATATCAAATTTGATTTGTAATTAAGAAAAGAATATTCCTTTTTTAATTTAAATAGGAGTGTTAAGTCGAGTCAATGACTCTCCTAAATATTTAGGGACTAACATTAGTCTTAACATCATATTGAAAATAAAAAGAAAAAAAAACTAAAAAAGTGAATTAGTTAGGATAGACACAAGTCGAGTTTTCTCATATGTTGATATGCATCCAAATTAAATATCTTTAGCTACTAGGATATACCTCGATGTGCAAATAATGTCTTGACGTAATTAGATACGATGTTAAATTGACCGGACTTTCAATTTTGGGGCTCGATGTCATTTTAATATGATTTTACAATTAAAAAAACAAAAAATCAATATTGACCTAGATAATAATAAATAAGCTTGAAAATAGATTTAGAAAATATTTAACAAACATAACTTTTTAAAAGATACTTTTAGAATTACAATAAACTCGCTTTTTTTTTTGGAAAAGAGTGTTTTTGGGTAATTATTATCCTTTAAAAAACATAACCAATTTGTTACTTAAAATCTCTCGAATCCGAGTGACTTCTTTAAGTTTTTTAGTTCATTTTAATACTAGGTGACAACTTTAAAATTTTTTTTAATTCTTTTTATTTTTTTTTAATTTTGGAACTTTCATAAATGCTAGCTAACGCTAGAATGTAGCAATAGGATTAAGAGTTGCGTTTAACGTGAATGGAAAGAAAACTAATAATAATGATTCAAGCAGCGAAGAAGACTACTCAATCCGCTGAGACAAATTTTAAATTTTGCAAATTGTATTTAATTGGCTGAAATAAAAAATAAAGGGAGTTCGTTTGACTGAATTGATAATAAAGAGACTCTTTTTGACGAATTCATAAAAACACTGTGGAAAGTTTAGCCAAATACCTTTGTTTATCTAGCCTTAATTTATTCCTGAAAGCCCAAGGGCCCACGCAACCTTCAAACAGCCCATGTTCATCCAACCTGACCAAAACGAATCGTTTTACACCGATTACATTCAGGGGGCCGTGGATAGAAACGAGCAGAAGAATACCAAATCGATTTACGATAAAAATAATAATAAAAAAAGAGAAAAAAAGGGGGTTTTGTTCCACTAAACTATGCAACTAACCCTACTCAACAGCACCAATACTGAGTACTGACTCGTCTCCTTCAGGCTTCAACCATGAAATTTCTTCTTCAAGGTAAACAACACATATACTTATTTCTTTCATCTCTTTCTTCACTGAAAAAAAAAAACGATTATTATTCCGTTAATTTCTGATTATTTAGATGCTCAAAGATCACTGCTTCGCGGCTTGGGTAGGCGATACTTGGCAGCCTCAGCAACCTCAACAGAGCAGTACTCCAAGCGAAACTATGCAAATAATGTATCAGAGTACAATACTGTTTTTGCTTCTCTTACTGTTAAACGCAGGTATTTACTATTTATTTATTTATTTACGTATGTTCTTTAATTAAATTGAATTAAATGTGAATTTGATATTATTTTGTTGTTGGAAATTAGGAATTATCTGTTGAGAGATGCTTATGATGATATGATGTTAGACGGAGTGCAGCCGAGTAGAGATACATTCCATTCTTTGATTGCTGGAACTATGAAAGGCTCGCGTTTGCAAGATGCCTTCTATTTTAGAGATGAGATGAAAGCTATGGGTTTGGTTCCTGATGTATGTCTTTTAATTTTATTTATTTTTTTTGAAAGATTATTACCACTTTAAACTATTACCAGAAAAAAAAAAAACGTGTTTTTTTTCCTTCTCCATATTATAGGTTGTCTTGTACAACTTTTTGATATCAACCTGTGGGAAATGCAAGAATTCTGACCAGGCAATTAAGGTACAGCTATGCTTTTTTTTTTTTTTTTTTTCCAGCTCAGATGGAGTGCTATTTGTATTTGAATTCTGCTAATTTTCTCTTTTACTTGAAGGTTTTGGATGAGATGAAGAATTATGGAGTGAAGCCAAATGGACAAACCTATATCTGTCTACTTAATGCATGTGCTGCTGCTGGTCGGTTAGATCCAGTGTATGTTATTTCTTCCTTGATTTATATCTTTCCTTTTTCATCTGATTCACTATGCTCAATCCCTCAACCCAATGACCTTTTCCGCCATTCTCTATGGCTTTGTAGCCTTAAGTGTCTAACTGGGAAAGGTTACCAACATAATAAGATGCAGCTTTGCCAGCTAAAATGATTGAAATCATGCATTTGCCCAACTTAAATTCATTAACTGTAATGTTTGTTGATTAATCAATGATGGTCAATTCTGCCTAACGTACAGCATAAAATCTCAGATTCTGTTTCCATTGAGCTCATGGACCTTGTCTTCAGCCAACAGTTGGCTTGATGCTTAGCCATTGTGCATCATCATGTTATCTTTCCCACAAAGACCTATGAAACAACCTAATTATTCAGTATCATCTAAAATGTTACAGGTACACAATTGTTCGTGATATGACTTCCGCTGGTGTTGGTTTGAACAAGTACTGCTATGCAGGACTAATAGTTGCACATAAGAACAAGACACCTGTATCAGAAGATGTAGCCGCCAAAGTAAGTATATGAAATTTTCTCTGTTTTGAATATCATTTTCTCACTCTTTCAGAATTTTGAAGCTTTTCTAATAACTTTATATTGTTTGAAGATTATTGAGTTTGTTGAGCAGTCAAAAAATTGGTCAACAGTTGAAGCATCAACAGGAGTAAATGCTGAAAATGTGATGATGAATGTTTCTGAAGAGGAATTATACAATTTACCAACTGCTGACTATATTCATAGGCGTCAAGGATTTTTGGATAAGGAACTGACTGTATACCATGTGGCCTTTGATGCTTTTGTGGAGCTTAAAAATGTACAGGTGGATCTTCTCACATCCCTAGTGATATCTTGTTTTACCAGCCTTTGTGAAAACCAGTTTCTACTATTCCACTCACTGTTGCTGCCTCATTTTGTCTGTTGCTTTTATTTATCAGTAGTCTTTTTTTTTTTTTTTTTTCCTTGGTCGCAATAGGCTATGGAAACTCTTGTGGAGCTGCTTAAGAGTGAGAAAAAGGATCCTGATGTCTTTATTCTCGTGCAAATGATGAGGTATATTAGTTGATCTTTCGCTAACATTTGAAGTCAACCTAATCGAGTTATGTACATGAGTAATGTGGCATAGATTTATTCATTTTCCTTTCATACCCTGTTGATATTTACCTAAACTGTCACAAAGCAGTATGTATGGCTTCAGATAACAATATAATCCCGCTTTGTGGTTTATCCTTTGGTAACTTCTCCCTTTAATTGGCTATTGGTTGTTTATGGATAGTTTATTGAGTGTTGTATTTATCACAGTACCATCTTAGAATTTCGTGATTGACTTCCTCGTATACACCTGTTTAATATACAGTTTATGTGAAATCTTTCTTCAAAATATAGTTTTAACTAATATACCGAGCTGCTAACCCAATCCTTGTAATTGCCTTCCCAGTTATATACATTTTTTAATATTCTATATTTCTTTAGAACTGCGATACACTCTCTGGAAGTGTCATGCAGTTAGAATGTTAGGGACAGGATTTATGTAGAAAACATATGTTACTTTGCTGGAAAACTCATATAGATCTTTCCATTTAACAAATTAGCTCCTAGAAAATTTAGTTTCTTATTCTCTAAAAACTTTAGTCACTCTGAATTTTGTCAAAATAAAAACAAAAAATGAAATAAATGTTAATTTCTTCAAACTTTTTAAAGTTAATACAGAACACAGGTATGTAAAACATTCGATTTAATAGTTGGTACGCGCATTGTAATTTAAAGAGAACCTGGCTTAAGTAAGTTACTACACCAAAAAACAATTCGGCTGATTTAAAATACCGGCCCTACCTTATCTTATTAGGTTTGAATTAATCAGAGCCTAAATTTTGGTGGCCAAAAACTTTCTGTACACTTTAGATTGTCGAAGTACACAGTTCACGCTTCTACTCTTTTTCTTACTGCTGACCATGCTTTTCATTTCTTTCCCTTTTTCTGCCTTTTCATTGTCGTTCCTCTGTCTCCACTATTGTAAATCCCTCCTTTAAACAAAAGTGCATCACCATTTGCATGATCTGAATGTGTAATGCATCAGCATTAGCATGATCTGAATGCGCAATCCACTATGTGGATTTATTGTGATAAGTGTGCTACCTGGTTAAATGCGGGGCTGGTAATTGTGCTTTGGAATATGTAGCTTAGGAATAGTAGAGCAACAAGACATGTGGCAACTCAAGATTAGGAGTCTTACACGTATCCTTTGGTGATTTGAGAAAGATGATTTAAGCAAGGTTGAGTGGTTTGCTTATGAGTTTATTGTAACTAGAAAAATTGCTTATTCCACAAATAGATATGTAGTTCATGGTTATTGGATCCCCATGGTATTAGATACAGTTTGTGCAATTGAGTGATCCACTTTTGTTTATGGGAGGAACAAATAGAGAGCAATGGAGAGAGGCAGAAATGACGATGAAAAACCAGAAAAGAGGGGAAAAAATGAAAAATATGCTCACTTTTAGAAACTAAAGTGGAGGCAAAAGGTTTACTAATATCTACGCTCTGATTTCTTCAAACCTCTGATAACACAAGTGTAGGGCCTGTATTTTAAATTAGTCAGATTGTTTTTTGCTACAGTTACTTGCTTAATATTTGTTTTTCTTTAAGTTACAATTTGGCCAAACTATTAAATTGATTGTTTTGGCATACTTATGTTTTGCGTAATGACATAAAGAATACTTGTGCTAGAATTTTGCTCCCTTTACCATGGGTGAGGGTGTAAAACAAACAGAGCAGCTTGAGATCGGCTCGTCTAATAGCTTGCTCGAACTCAATTGTAAAGTAAGTGAATGGGGCTTGATCAGTTTTTCCAGCTTGATTTCGAAATTGAGCTGAGCCTGGACAAAATACTGCTCAGTTCCATGAGTTCGTGAACATGGGGTATGTTGTTTATATGTTTACAATATCAAAGTTTACATGAGTGGTTTTGAAAAGACTGTTTGTATGTCTCATTTACCTCTTGAAAGTTGATGTATCATAAGGAAATGACATAAAAGGTCAAGGTGGATAGGATATCTATCTTATATCTGCCTTGTGTTTTCTTTGCTTATTACTCTAGTAATAAAGGCTGCTACAATTTTCAATGGTGCAGCTTTTGTTCCACATCTTTTGTAGTTACATTTGAAAAAAGATTTCTTCAGCTTTGAGATTTGAGCTGGCTTATTTTGTAACAAGTCGAGCTAAGCTCAGTTCTAATCATTATTTCAGGAGCTGTGCTGGAACAAGTTAAGTTTAAAACAGCTCGAGCTCAAGCTGAGTTTGACCAACATTCTAAGATTATCAAGCCAATGTTTGAGCAGAGATACATTTGGCTCGGCTCAATTATGCTGTGATTAGGCATATCTCACTTCCTATTATAGCGAGGGGAGGGTATTGTTCTGTTCCAAGAATCAATAGAAGGAAAGTTCAAAATAAAACATTGAAAACACTTGTGACATGCTTTGAAAGAAGGATCAAAATCAATTTGAAAATAAATACCTTTGTGTGGCTTGAAGATATGCCTGCATGATTGCAAGCTTTGGTGGATAGAAATGCACACCATCATTGTAATTATTATAGAGGAGTATTGTTGAGGGTTAACTATCTTTTGTACCATGTCTTTTATCACAGGTCTGTTGTTAGATCCATCTCTATACTTTGTGAAAAGTTCATTAGTTGTTTCAACTCCAGTCATTTGCTTTACAATTTTCATTGGTTTGAGTTGACTTTGTGAAATTTAATTTTCATAAAAGAAATTAGTCTGAACAGAGCCTAAAAAGAAAAGAAAAAAATGATCAAACTTGCCGCTTTTAGGTTTGCTGTTTGAAGTTGGATTACAATTTTGCTATATTTCTTTCTTTTCTTTTCTTAAAGATGCTTTCTTCCTTTTAATTTAATTAAGGCTAAATGGTCCAAACCTCCGTTGAACTTAAAGTGATTTGAGAATCAGTCCCTCAGCTTTTATTTTTGTGTTGGACCTCCCTCCAGTTGTTTTTCATTTGAAATTTTATCATTCTGTTAGGTTTTCATCAATTCTAATGGTGGAAGTACATGCGATTTGCACGTGGTTGACTTTTTAACTTTCTTAACAGTTAAAAATGTGCCAAAACTTATTAAGAAACAAGTTTTGGAGGGAAAAGCAAAGCATCTATTAAGTTTTGGCATGTTTGTAGCTGCTGAGGAATTGCACTTACACGTTAGAATTATTGAAAACTTAATAGAAGGACCCAATTTCAAACGAGAAATAGTTGGAGGGAGGTCCAACCTGAAATTGGAAGTTCTAAGAGCATTGACAGCAATCAGGATGGGATTTTTAATGTTAGTTGTTTAACCAGATGGAAGAGACTGAATAAGTTGGTTGAGATTCTTATTATGTCTGTAGCAATGTAGAAAAGGATTATATGGTTCTAAAACATGGCATTGCAAGGACAGTTGGAGAGCAAGAAAGAATGACTTGGGTAAATATCTGTACATGTTCGAACAATGATTTTGGATTATAGAGGACATAATAAGAGAATTATCCCTGCTAACTACCCATTGAATTGCTGGCTGTCCTGTCAGTCCACATGTTGTGCAGAACAGTGTTTTTTTATTTTTTATTAAGCATTGTGTGTGCATCAATTAAGTCGATGCCTTGAACTTGAAACTTTTATTTATTTATTTATTATTTTTGTCTTTCAATTGTTCATTTGACATTAGCAACTTTTAAGTGTCCTTCTAAATATATTTTTTTCTAGGTGCTATCTACATTCTGGAGACCTTGATCGCGGTCTTCAAATTTATGATGATTACATGAATTCCAAGAAGCGTATTTACATAGAACTATATGTGGTGAGTTTTGTAACAACTGCCATATATGTGATTTGTATACATATCAGTTTGCTGTAATTCTGAAGTCTCGTATTGCATATCACTTTGCCGTTGGAAAAACCAGCTCTCTCTTCTCCAGGTTTATGGATAAGTAGGTTCTAGAGATACTGAACAGAAATTCTAGAACATAAATGCGTTCAGCATTTGGGCAGGTTACCTGCCCTCTATTTTACAAAAATTTTCACACATATCTTCCATCCGAGAATCATGTCCTTACTTCTGCTTCAGCAGCAGAGTTGATCTTACTTGCAAAAATAAATGTGTTCTTTAATATTCTCAAGATTATATATACTGAGATATGCTAACCTGCACATTTGGGCAGGTTACCTGCCCGCTATTTTACAAAAATGCTGGGGTATATGTGTCAGTACACTCTTTTCTTATTGCTCTATCTCTGTGTATCAATCATCTATAAACAATTCTCTAGAAAAGAAAATCATCTATAAGCACTTCACCTTAAATTCCCTCTTTTTTTCTCTATTGGGACTTTAGAATCATGCCTTTTAATTTCCCCCCAGATAGAAGTGGAAAGGCATAGCTTATTGGATCTTGAGCTATTTTCCTTGGAAATTCATGTTTGTTACACTAATAATGGTGTGATTCAGCTCTTCACGATGCGGATTATGATGAATCGTTTCTTCTTCACAAATCATTATATGATCTGTTTTTCCTAACGTGGGTTTCTTGCTTCTCAAACAGCAAATGACAATTTATTTATTTTTGTTTTTTTTTTAAAGATCTGAACAAGAACTTTAACATATTGCTTGTTAGTGAAATGGAGAAATTTGAAATTTGATGGTTTTTAACAGTTCATTACATGAAGAGAGGGAGAAAGGAGAAGGCAGAGGCCTTGATTTGTTTGTCGAAGAGAGATAGGAAGGAGGCATTACTTTTCCTGATTGCAGATTTCTTTTTTTTCTACATACTAAATCAACAAAGTTTTCCCCGAATGCTATTTTTATTATATGAGAGAACAAGGCTATTTTGTTTTTATAAAAAGATGGGCACATTGCTTACCTAGAGGGGATTGCTAACTTGCCATTATTTCTGGCTTTGTGCTGAACCCATTTCTTATATGAACTGAGATTACCTATCAATGCATCAAACTGCAACATATTCATCCATTCACAAAATCACGGTTTTCCCCACACATGACTCTTCATTGCTCCCTGTTGGAAACATGTTCAACTCCATCGCGCCCCCACCCCCAACCATCCACCACCAACCACAAACCCCACCCCCCGGCGCGCGCACTTGATCTGCATATATTCTCTTTACTTCCTCTGCCAGTTGACCACCACAGCATCATCAACAATCTTTGTTACTTCTGCTACTGATGATGACAAGAGGGTCCACATCTATTATGCATTCTTTATAGCAGTACATACAAAAGTATTACTTGATTTATTTTATAATTTGCTTTTTTCCATTACATCAGTTTTGTGAGCCTACACATTTTTTTATTTATTTTTCTAAACATATCATAGACTGAGTTTACAATTAACCTTCGTTTACTGGGAACAACGTGATAACATATGAAATGCCACCAAAATTTGTTGTTTGGAAATCCTCTTCAATTTTTTTTTGCATTTGTTGGTACCTTCTTTTTGTCCCATGTTTTGCTGACTAGCAGCCTTTTGTTTCATATTTACTAGTTTAACTTGTCTACATCTGCTACTGTAGTGTGGGGAATCGATTTATTTTCTATATTGGTGCAACTAAGCTGATCATGACAGCACAAATCTTATAACTGCTTGAACTTCTCATAGGCACTTGTAGAGGGAGCCATGATAGGGCATACTCCAAGGGGGATGCAAATTGCTTTAGACAAGCTGGTACGGTTAGTTTATGGTTCTATATTGTGATTGTGTTTCTGATTGTATCATCATTGTGCCTTCACATAGATTCTTGAACAATGCAGGAAGAAATGACTCAGAGGAACTTCTTCTTGAATCCAAAAATGGCAAATGATCTCCTCCTCATAGCAGCTGGTGATAAGGTAATAATTATGCTACACTTTATTTTTCACAAGGCAACATTCATGTCATTAATAGTTAGCTAGAAATATTTAGATGTTGTTGAGCTGTATATCTCATCATTTTATGATCAAATTACAGAAAGGTGGATATACAACTGCCAATTATTTATGGGACCTGATGCAAGCTCGGAATATAACACCTTGGCTTCCTGCGGTGCAAGCATATTACAATGGGTTAAAAGTGAGTCTTCTTTGCTTCACAATGCACTGAAGGATTTTACAATGGTCTGCTGTTTATTCAAGCTTGTTGTTACACCTCCTTTTTTTATGTCTGTAGCTTCATTCAACTACACCTTCCCATGTTGATGGTGAAACGGATAGGTTAAAAAGACTTGCAGAGAAATAGGATATAGATTTTTCAAATGACACTAATAGGTTAAAGAAATGCAGAAAAAGCCATCTGCAATGAGCTTGGGTTAGAGCAGAGTTGGGTCTTTAAATTGACATGACATTGGTGAGGATGACTCTAAGAATTTAGCTTTGCAGGCTGTGTGAGTAAAAAAATCTACGAGCTTAAGCAGCATAGAGTTTACAGAACACTCGCGATATTTTTCTTCCCTGATAAATTGAAAGTTCTTATCATTTTTATGCATGAAGGTGGAAGACCTCATCGGATAACATATTACTATTTTACCTAATATCAACTGCAGATTTTTCCTTGCACCTGTAAACATTTTCCCAGTTTTCTCCATTGTGGAGACATGTTTCTTTGGGAACCATCAAACATTTTTTCAGGCAAATGTCCCAACAAAAGTCTCTTGGGTCATTTTCAGTGAATGAAGCTGCAAATACGATATAAAGTTAATACAAGTCCAACCAATGTCTGGTGGTCATTGCAAATTCTCATCATGTACCCTGTTTAATGCATGCTGCACATATAGTCCTGTCATTTCTATAAGCAGATTCCAGTGTCTTTTCATATGCTTTGAAAGTTGGAATAATGAAACAAAACTCATGTGTTGTTCTTTAAAGTAATTTAGGAACGTTCATCAGGTGGTTTTGCAACATCCTGCTGGTTCTGTGACCTATTTTATAGATGCAATCGATTCAGATTGATCGGTAAATTTCCTTTGATTCTTGTAGCTACTTAACGCTTTTCCTTCTATTCTTTGAGCGGCAGGCGCGCTTTGTTCCTGAAGAGGATCCCAGACTGTTGCAGGTTTCTAGTACTTATGAGAAGTTAGCCCGAAGGTTTGGACCTGTAAGACACCAGACAGAAAATCAAAACTGATATCCTGCAGGGCTTGTTGTATTGAATGTTTTTGTTGCAACCAAAGAATCCCTTTTTAAATTGACATGTAGCCTGAAAGTTTTGATGAGCCATGTAGCCTGAAAGTTTTGATGCTCGGTGACTGATTTCCAGCCATCGGAGGTACTCAGTTCTTCCAGCTGTGGTTTTATAGCCACGGCTGTATTTTTCTTTATGTGAGGTTCAAGTACAGGAGAAATACATAGAATCAACATAGCGTGGCTCTACTCTATAATGGTAATAATTTGCTATTTATTAAGTAGCTTAAATGAGGCTTCCGTTTCATTAATCATCGATCACACAACATCATCATTTGGTATTTATTGGTGAAAAAGAAGTTAAATTGTACGATGGAAAAGATAGGGTTTTTTTTTTTTTTTTTTTTTCCTACAGCAGCAGCTGCAGGAGATCTCCGATCCACCACTAGGAACAAGCCTTGAGTCATGGTGAGTGTTGCTATCAGATGTTTAAGAGACTTTTAAAAAACTTATTAAAAATTTTTATTTATGTAATTATTATTTTTTAGGATAAATGATAAAAAATTGAAGGATGGACTAATTTTTCAAAAAAATAAAAAAATCAAGAATTCTAAAAATTAAATTTGAAGTTTAAAGGCTTAATTTCAAATGGGCTAAAATTCAGAAAGATTTTACTCATTTAGCTTAGATATGTTTTGGAGTTGTCATTTAGTATTAAAGGAATTAGGAGATCTAGAGTTGTCACCTAATCTTAAAGGAACTAGTAGATTTAAAAAAAGTAATGATTTAAAGATTCAAGAGTAAGGAGTTGTCTAATTCTAACAATTTATGTCTTAAAAATTTTATTTTTATCAAAATATTTTAAAGTTAATTTTCAACTTTTTTTGCTTGTCATTTTTTTTTAATATCATATTAAATCGATCCTTGGATTCTGTCGAGATTTTCGTCAATTTAACATTGGATTTGATTTAAATCTTAATATAACTGGTATATCGAAGAATGACCTATTTACTAAAAATGATTGATTTGATTTAATTACTAACATTAATATCTATTAGATAAGAAACTTGTTAAATTAACTTAGCATTCTCTCTATTTTTTAAATCATTTTTATCTTTTTTGTGTGGTATTTTTTAGAGTTGGACAAAATATATCAAAACCATAATCTATCCCAAATAAATAGGAGACTTGTTGGCTTGACATTACAAGTAAATGAAAATTCACATATTAAGATAAAATTTACAATCTAAATATTTTTATATTTTCTAATACACCTAAAATTAAATAATTATCACAAAACAATATAATATATAATAAAAAAAGATACGAAGAACAAACCAAATGGTCACTAAAGAGTGATCAAAATTCCCATGGGATGTTGTTTAAAAATGGCAAAAATACCCATGTTTTTGAAAAATGATAGAATTGCCCCTAGTGTGAAAATAAAAGAAATTTCCTTGCTTAATATCGGAGATTGTTGTTACCGTCCGGTCACTAATCGATGCGTGGAGCACTTTTTGTGTAAGGGATAGTCGTGTAAAGTCTGTTAGTTTTGACGGTGACGACCATTCGTTGCTGACGGAAGAGATCTACGATCGATAAGTTTTGGTCGGTCTCTTTTTTCTTTTTCGATCAATTTTGATTGGATTTAATGGTTTCCAAGGCTCTAAATTGGACCAGAACCACCCCTAAGACCTATTGGAGCTTCATTTTGGCTTTTATGTGGTCCGATTTGGTTGAAAAATAGGAAAGAAAAATGATTACAAATCATGGATCATAAAAGATCTAAAAAAAACACTCGGTTTAAAGATTTAAGGTAAGGAGTTGTCTAATCCTAATAGTGTATCTCTTAAAGATTTTATTTTTACCAAAATATTTTTGAGTTAATTTTCAATTTTATTACTTAAGTCAATTTTTTTTTTTTGACATCATATTGAACCGATCGTCGAATCCCATCGTTGGAAGTCTTGTTAATTTAATATCGGATCCGATTTGAATTTTGATTTGATTTAATTAATAACATCAATCTTTATCGGATAAGAAACTTGTTAAATTAACTTAGCATTCTCTCTCGTTTTTTAATCATTTTTATCTTTTTTGTGTGATATTTTTTAGAGTTGGACAGAATATATCGGAACTACCATCCGTCTTAAATAAATAGGAGACTCGTTGGCTTGGCATCACAAGTCAATGAAAATCCACATACTAAAAATTTACAACCTAAATATTTTTATGTTTTCTAGCATACCTAAAATTAAATAATTATGGAAAAAAATAATAGTAATAAATAATAAAAAAGATAAGAAAAAAAAACAAAATGGTCACTAAAGAGTGACCAAAAATTCCTCGGGATGTTGGAAAATGGAAAAAATACCCATGTTTTTTAAAATTGACAAAATTGCACTTGGTGTGAAAATGAAAGGATTTTCCTTGCTCATTGTGAGAGGTTTTCCTTGCTCATTTTTATATTTTCTAGCATACCTAAAATTAAATAATTATGGAAAAAAATAATAGTAATAAATAATAAAAAAGATAAGAAAAAAAAAATGAAATGGTCACTAAAGAGTGACCAAAAATTCCCTTGGGATGTTGGAAAATGGAAAAAATACCCATGTTTTTGAAAATTGACAAAATTGCACTCAGTGTGAAAATGAAAGAATTTTCCTTGCTCATTGTGAGAGGTTATCGCCTATCTAATCACCAATTGATGCATGGACCATTTTTTCGTGTAGAGGCGATCATGTGAAGTTGCCATTTTTGGTAGTGATGACTGCCATCGCTTAACGAAAGAGATCAACGATCGACAAGTTTTGATTCAATCTCCTCCTCCTTCTTTGATCAAATTTGACCAGATTTAATGGTTTCCAAGGCTCTAAATCAAACCATAACCACCCCTAGGACATATTGGAACTTGATTTTGGCTTTTATATGGTCCGATTTGGCTAAAAATCGGGACGAAAAATGATTACAAATCGTGGATCACATGGATCCAAATTCACTACTAGTTTCCTCCCTTCATGATCATTTTTCTTCACTTCCATTGGTAGAGAATGGTTGCTTGGAGGAGCGGTTCTATAGTGGTGGCTACCATTGACATTGTTGGAAAATGGCCGATTTGGAAGGAACTCATATCTAAATCTAACGGGTCACGAAACGGGTTGAGTTCCATGGCTTCTCTTTTAATTTTTTACCATCTTCGATGTCTTCTTCCTTTCAAACTTGTTGAAATTGATCGATACGAGTGCGTGCTACAAGTTCATGGTGGTTGTTGGAGGTGGAGTTGGCTAGAGGATGGTTGATTTGGGAGTGCAACTTCGATAGGTCCGGTAGGTTGACCCGTTAGTTGGATGGTTTGGTTTTAGGTTAGGGGTCGTTTGGCTCTCCCTTTTTAGGGTGGTAGCTTATTTTGTTTTTATTTTTATTTTTTATTTTTGCTAGCTTGTGGTTGTATGAATGAAAATTTGTTTTTAGAGAGATGATAAACAATAACCTTTCTATATTTTGGCTTTTTTTTTTTTATTATGTGTAGGGTGATGGATATTTGTGGTTAGATTTTTTTTAATAGGAAAGATGAATAATAATGGAGGTTAGGGTTTTTGTGAGGAACATAAGTAATGGAGGCTAGGGTTTTTGCGTAGGAGCTGAATAATGGAGGCCTTCCAAAAAAATGAGATAAAAGTGTGTTTATATAGGAATTTTTAATGACTTGGGATAAAATCAACCTTGGTCCTTTCTTAATTTATTTTTATCAATTTTAATGTATATTTTATTATTTTTCTCCAATTAGCTCCTTAATTAAAATTAGTTAATCTTATTCTCTTGATTGCTTTCAATTTCATGCTGATTAATTCTCAATTAAGGCCCTTGATTTTTATCCCTTTTCAATTATATTCTTATTTGAATATCACTTGGTTTTCACTTTTTACATCATTTTCAATCGGATCCCAAATCATCTTTCTATTTTTATTTTTTACTTTTTTTAGTTAAAGTTAGGGATAAATCTAAGAAATTTATAAAAAAGCTTAGAAATCATGAAAAGATAAACTGTTGCAACATGCTAATTTTTTTCAAAAAAATTTCTTCTTCTTTTCTTGAATTTTTGTATGAAATGAAGGGGACCAAAAGTGGATTATGATAGTTTTTCTCTCTTTATAATGTTTATTGCGCAAATTTAGAGGAAACACATGTTTTTCATTGACTTTTCATAATAAGCATGTAAAGAAATATTTTTTTCTTTTTCTTTTTCGGATGATAAGGTCGGTCTCGGTTGTTATGAGTGACTCGTCTTCAAAATAAAATGATAGGTTGGTCTTTAAGGGTGACTTGTCCTAAAAGTATAGCGTAGTGGTCATGTTCTTAAGGGCAACTCGCTTTGAAAATAATGTGTAGTGATCTTGTTCTCGAGGGTGACTTACCCTAAAAATAAAACGCAATGGTCTTGTTCTCAAAGATGACCCGCGGAAAAATAAAATGAACGATCTTGTCCTCGAAGCGACCTTGCCTAAAACAAAATACAATGGTTTTGTTCTCGAGGCAACTTGCCTTAAAATAAATGCATGCTCTTGTTCTCAAGAATGACTTATCTTGAAAAGAAAATGCATAATCTTCTTCTCAAAGGTGACCTATCCAAAACATAAAATGCAATGGTCCTGTTCTTAAAGGCGATTGGGCTTGAAAATAAAATGCAATGGTCTTGTTCTCACGGGTAACTCTGTCCTCAAATAAAATACATTGATCTTATTCTCAAAGATGACTCGGTATAAAAGAAAAATGTATGGTCTTGTTCTCGAGGGTGACATGTCTTAAGAAATAAAATGCAATGGTCTTGTTCTAAAGGGTGACATGTCTTAAAAAAAAATTATGTTGGTCTTGTTTTTAAGGGCAACCTTCCCTAAAAATAAAATACAATGGTCTATTGTAAAGTGACCGATCCTGAAATGACGGTCCATTGTTAGGCGATATAGCATAAAATGGAGAATTATCATTAGACAATCTTGTCTAAAATAAAGAACTAAGTTAGTTTAACCTACCCGAATATGAAAATTTTTGCTAGATAGCTCTACCTAAAATGATGAATTAAGTTAAGCGACCTTACCTAAATGTAAGAATTATTGCCGAGGCGACCTTACCTAAAACGATGAACTAAGTTAGGTAGCTTTGCCTAAAATGGGGAATT